GCTGGTGCTGCTGCTGCTGCTGCTGCCAGGGGTTGACTGAAAGGATTCGAACGCGCGGCAAATCTGCCACGGCCGCCATCAGCAGCTTCGACAGCACTCTGTCCGCTGCAGCAATCTGCGCGCAAACCCTAAACCCTAAACCCTAAACCCTACAGCAGCGTCTACCACAGAACCATGTCCGGTGGCCCTGCCCGGGAACAAACCCTGAACCCTAAACCCTAAACCCTGAGGCCTAAAGAGAGGCTTAGACGTGCCCCTCCAGCTGCGCCCGTAAACCCTAAACCCTAAACCCTAAACCCTCACGTTATGCATGCCGACGTCGTTTAGGAAATCAACAGCAGCAGCAAAACCACTAATCTGAGCCAGAGGAAGAGTCCCAGCTTCAAATCTCCAGGGGGGAGCAGCAAAGCTGCTGTCTTCAAACCCCACGTGCTGCAGCAGCAGCACCAGCAGCAGCAGCAGCAGCAGCAGCAGCAGCGTGCCTGGATCATTTGTCCCCCAAATGCTGCTGGCTGCAGCAGCTCAAGTGTCTCCTTGCGGCCCACAGCAGCCCCACTCCGCTGCTGAGAATCCGCTCAAGCGGCAGCAGCAGCAGGAGCTCCAGCAGCAGCAGCAGCAGCCGCACGATCTCCAGCAGCAGTGCCAGCAGCAGCAACAACAATGCAGCCGCAGGAGCTCCAGCTTCAGCAGCAGCAACAGCCGCAGGAGCTCCAGCCCCAGCAGCAGCAGCAGCAGCAGCAGCAGCAGCAGCAGCAGCGTGCCTGGATCATTTGTCCCCCAAATGCTGCTGGCTGCAGCAGCTCAAGTGTCTCCTTGCGGCCCCACAGCAGCCCCACTCCGCTGCTGCCGTACATTTTGTGGCTGCTGCCTACCAGCACGTCGCAGCAAAGGGCCCTCGCCTGCACCTGCAGCAGCAGCAGCAGCAGCAGCAGCAGCAGCGGCAGCAGCGGCAGCAGCGGCGGCAGCAGCAGCAGCGGCAGCAGCGCGGTGCTTGTATTGCATGTAGGTGGCGCAGCGCAGGGCCCTTGCATGCAGCTGCAGCAGCTGCAGCAGCTGCAGCAGCTAGGGTTGAGGGTTTAGGGTTTAGGGTTTACTTGTGTGTGGGGCAGCGCCTGCGTGGCGTCTACCACGGTGAGGATTTTGCTGCTGCTGCTTCTGGCCAGCAGCAGCAGCTGCTGCAGCTGCTGCTGCTGCACAAAAGACCCCAGCACGTTGGAAACGCATGCAGCAGCAAAAACGCGGGTTTTGGGGGACAGCAGCGCTGCAGCAGCAGCAACATCCAGCTCGAGGCTCCCGCGCTTCAGCTGCACACAAACCCTAAACCCTAAACCCTAAACCCTACACCCTAGACTCTGGGGCGGGAGCTTGACAGCAGCAGCTCCCCAGACTCGGCTGGACGGCGCCGAATTAGGGTTTAGGGTTTAGGGTTTAGGGTTTGGGGGCTGGCGGCAGCGCGGGCCGTAGCCGGTGCAGGGGCGGAGGGCAGGGCGAAGCTAGGGTTTAGGGTTTAGGGTTTAGGGTTTAGGGTTTACCTCTACTGCGTCTGTTGCTGCTGCTGCCAGCCGATAGGCGCCGCGGTGTACGTTCGCATTCTGGCGTCTGTACACCTCAGACTCGGCCTGCAGCAGCAGCAGCAGCAGCAGCACAAATAACAGCAGTAGAAACAGCAGCAGCAGCAGCAGAAGGAGCAGCAGCAGCATAATAGGAAAGAGGACAACTGGGACTCCTCTGCCACAGAGAGCAGAGTTTAGGGTTTAGGGTTTACCCCAATGACTGTGTAGGGTTTGTAGGCCGTGGCAGCAGAATTAGGGTTTAGGGTTTAGGGTTTACCCCCGATGACTGTGTAGGGTTTGTAGGCCGTAGCAGCAGAATTAGGGCTTAGGGTTTAGGGTTTACCGTGATGACTGTGTAGGGTTTGTGGGCCGTGGCAGGAGAATTAGGGTTTAGGGTTTAGGGTTTAGGGTTTAGGATTTACCGTGATGACTGTGTAGGGTTTGTGGGCCGTGGCAGCATTATCAAGAGGAATTAATTTTTTGTTTTTTTTCAAGAGAGGGAAAAGAGGCCGCAGCAGCTGCCCCAGCTCCCCCTCACCTGCTGCCGCTGCTGCTGCTGCTGCTGCTGCATTTGTTGCTGCCCGCTGTCCCGCTGCTGCTGCTGCTGCTGCTGTTGGTTTGCTGCCGGCTGCAGCAGAGGCCCCGGGTAAGGCCTGCGCACCAGCTGCAGCAGGAGCAGCAGCAGCTGCTGCTCTTGTTGCTGTTCTACTTGCTGCTGCTGTTGCTGCTGCTGCTGCTGCAGGCGGTGTCCTCTGCTGCTGCTGCAGCGAGGGACAGCTCTGGCAAATGAAGAAGAGTCTGTCTTTTGCGCAGCAGCTACTGCTGCTGCGCTGCTGCTGCTGCAGTTGCTGCAGTTGCTGCAGCAGCAACTGGCGAGGGGGCTTGAAAACAGTGGCATCGACACAGTGTGGCAGCAGCAGCAGCGGCAGCAGCAGCAGCAGCAGCAGCCGCAGCAGCAAGAAGTTGTGGTTCATCCTGTAGCCATGCAGCGGACACCCGGCGACGCTGCCGCTGCTGCTGCAGCTGCCGGGTGCCGCAGCTGCTGCTGCTGCTGAGAAGCAGCAGCAGCAGCAGCAGCAGCAGCTGCTGCTGCTGCTGTTTCTCCAGGTGCTGGTGCAGTGGCTCCTGCAGCGGGCATCAGCAGAAGAAGTCCAAGCTGCCACAGCAGCAGCAGCAGCTCACGCTGCTGCTGCTGCTGCTGCTGCTGCTGGCCGCTAACGGGGTGGAAGACAACTTCGTTAGGGGTGAGGGGCGAAGGCTCACTCTATCTAGGGTTTAGGGCTTAGGGTTTAGGGCTTAGGGTCCAATTTCAGCGGAAACAAAACGAAGATTTAGGGTTTAGGGTTTAGGGTTTAGGGTTCGGGCTTCAGGGTTTAAGGCCTCGGTACAACAGGAAGGAAGCGGCAGACCGAGACACCATCGAGTGAAGAAACCCTAAACCCTAAACCCTAAACCCTAGGCTTCAAGCTGCAGTCATTCAAGTTAAGGCTGTAAAGCTTTGTTCTTGGATTATAACTATAATTGTATTGGGGTTTAGGGTTTAGGGTTTAGGGTTTAGCGTTTAGGGTGTCTCTAAGGCGGCAGCAGGACTGAGGGGACTGGCGTCGGCCATTTCGGCTGCGCCCAAAAGCCCTAAACCCTAAACCCTAAACCCTAAACCATAATTTTTGCAGCTTAAGAAAGCTAGCGAGTTTGTCTGCTTTGCAATAAATGGATGAGCCTCTATTCCCTAAACCCTGAACCCTAAACCCTAAACCCTAAATGCTAGACATAGTGCACCTATGGACCACTGTGTAGCCTCCGAGGACCGTCAGCCATCCAAAACCCTAAACCCTAAGCCCTAAACCCTAGCCGCTACCCGCTAAATCCTTAACCCTAGCGGCTAGACCCTAAACCCTAATACCGCGGTTCCGCCGCATCTTCCAACCCCTCGCCCGCGGCTCCGCGCCCCAACCCCCGCCCCAAACCCCCCAAACCCCAAACCCTAAACCCTAAACCCTAAACCCTAGAATGATATACGGCTGCAGCACTGTTCACCGCCAGCTGCTGTGCCGGCGTTTCGCCGTTCGGCGGTTTTCTCCGTTTTGGATTTTTTGTTTTCTTTTAAAACTTTTTATTTTTCTTTTGCCTTTCTTTCTCGCGCTGTCCAAACGAGGTCAGTCTGCAGCTAGCTAGCTAGCTAGCTAGCTGGCTAGCTAGCTGGCTAGCTAGCTGGCTAGCTGGCTGGCTGGCTGGCTGGTTGGCTAGCTAGCTAGCTAGCTAGCTAGCTGGCTAGCTAGCTAGCTAGCTGGCTAGTTGGCTGGCTAGCTGGTCGGCTGGCTGGTTGGCTAGCTAGCTAGCTAGCTAGCTGGCTAGCTGGCTAGCTGGCTGGCTGGCTGGCTGGCTAGCTAGCTTGTTAGCTATCTGGCTGGCTGGCTGGCAGGCTAGCTGGAGCCACAGTCGCTAGCTAGCCAGTGATACGCCCAGTTAACTAGCTAGCTGGCTAGCTAGCTGGCTTGCTATCTATCTAGCTAGCTAGCTAGCTAGCTAGCTCGCTGGCTTGCCCGCTAGCTAGCTAGCTAGCTAGCTAGCTGGCTAGATACGCATTCCCTTTAGCAGTCAATAAATGTCTAGCTAGCTGGGCAGCTAGCTAGCTGCTTGGCTCTGTAGCTAGCTCCCCAGCAGCAGTGGAAAAGGCAACCCTCAAGCCCTAAACCCTAAACCCTAAACCCTAATTTGTGGTTTGTCGCGCCCGCAGGATGGTTTTACGGAGCCTCTTCTGCCGCAGACTCTGGCAGCTTGGAGGTTTCGGAGGTTTCTGTTTTGGGGGGTTCCGCTGGGGCTGGGGGCCCCTGCTTGACGCAAACCCCAAACCCTAATTCAGGGTTTTGTGGTTTGGAGTTTCTCCATCCGGACGCAGTCCAGAAGATTACCTTCTCTTCAACTAGCGGCGCAGCCGCGGCAGACACCACGGACTGGGTTCTCGACTCGCAGGCAAACCCTAAACCCTAAACCCTAAACCCTGAACCCTAAATTCTAAACCGTAAACCCCCAGACCTAAACCCCAACCCCCTGGACCAAAACCCTAAACTGTAGCGGGTGCAGCAAACAGCAAACCCTCGTCTCCAGCCCCCATGAGGAACTCGAAGTCCCAAACCCTAGCCTGCGAAAACCCTAGCAACGAACCCAAAACCCTAAACCCTAATGCTGCAGGTGGCGACCACAGAAGGAAACAGCTTTCAGGTGTACGTACACCTCAAACCACAAAACAGCGAGTTGCTTTTTGTTCTTGCTGCTGGTCTGACGCTCCATCTAACTGGCTCCCTCGACGGCGTAAACCCTAAACCCTAAACCCTAAACCCT